ATAGACAACTTCGACATGCTTTGTACAAACAGTGTCTCTTTAAAGAGAAGCAATTTCGGCACCAGGTGAAACAAATTCAAAGTCAAGATCATCAACTGTACACAGCTTCTATCAATAAAATCAGCCTCTCCCCTTTTGATGATAAGAGATATGTCCTCAATGATGGAATACACACACTGGCCCATGGTCATTATAAAATTGATTCTTAAGAAAAACCATTTCATATCTACCCTTTGTGTATGATGTAGTATGACTCAACAGTGTTAGATTTACCCGGCAATGTTATATTGTAAATATATGGTAAATATTGTTTGAATATTCATGCTACATTACTAATGGTTCAATGTCAATCTTTATTGATTATGTATATTCTTATAGACACTTATAAATGTCCATTGTACAGATGTGTTGAATGGAAATGATATATATTGTGTTAATTGTTTAATTATATGTTGTTATGAATACTTATTGTTGAATAAATATGTTAAATATATCCATTGCGTTTGTGATTGTTTTATGAAACTTAAATAGTTATATTTACAAGACAGTACACAATTGATAATAGTGTGATTGATGTGAATAGACCCACATGGTAACAGAGTAATGATACAGACTGATTCACGTACATACAGGGGCGGTCCGGTAGCCTAGTGGTTAAACCGTTCGCTCATCACGCCGAAGACCCGGGTTCAATTCCCGACATACAACATAATGTGTGAAGCCCATTTCTGGTGTCTTCTGCCGTGATATTGCTGGAATATTGCTAAAAGCGACGTAAAACCATACTCACTCACTCACATACATTCACTTTTTGTTTAAACTAAAGGTAAAATTCAAATAAAATGCTGAAAGGTTGCAAAAAACAAAACAAAAAGAACAAAGAACTAGTATATATATATACATATTTTTATTACATAAATACAATACATATAACAATATGATATGTACAGTCACATAATTATAGAATAGTGTTTTAATGTACAATAGTTCAATTATTATTAAATATCCTCATCCTCATTATCATTATCTTGGTCATCATCAGATTGGTTGACCAGTTCTAAATCTTCGGTCAGTGACATGTCCACATAAGAGAGGATATCTTTGACCACTGGTTTCATCCACCGAGTGATTTTATGATCCATTTCATTGCGATCCATGTCAGGGTCTAACTGTTTCATATTCTCTAGAATAGGTTTGAAGATAGGCCCGTTTCCAAAGTAGCCTATATATCTAATGCCTGTCACGAGTCTTTCAAGAAAAGTAGTTTTCCAGCACTTCGTCAATTTCTTTTAAATCCATCTCTCACTCTTCCCTTCATCTTCATACTCTCCTTTCTTCTTCCAGATTTCTTCCCTGCACGTTTTTAGTATTTGTTCCCACATGTATTCTAAGCCTTTCACCTCCCACTCTTTATCAGCTTCACTGAATTTAGAGGTCATTGTAGGCGGTCTCATCATCTGTCTGAATTTTAAGTCGTTTCCTTAGGGGCCCCCCTCCATTCTCAGGGCACCACGATCTGACATGACGCTGAAGGTCATGATTATTTTCAAACACAATACCACACTCATCACAGGAAGGCATAGTTGTATCAGTAGTGTCGTGCTCTGATTCACTGTCAACTGGAGCGGCTACTTCTGAGATGTGATCTCTTCTGGTGTCTGGCTTCAAATGATACTGATTGACAGCTTGCTCCTCTTTTATAGGCTGTGGGGTGTTGACTGTTTCAAGTACATTAGGTTGTAGTCTTCCTGATTCCAAGGTAGTAGGACGGAAGTCGATTGTCAGATTGCCATAGGGTTTTTCAACAGCTTCTTTATACACAGACATAAACCAGCCGGTATTGTTGGGATAGATGCGCCTGGCAAACAAGTTGACTTGATGTCTGTCCACAGGGGAATTAAACAGTGTCACGTAATGAGAATTCAAAGCAATGTCACGTGACTCCTTACCTCTGGGAAACAGATTTTTTAACAGTAAGAAAATAATGACATTCTTATGGTGAGAGGTTCGGGTGAACAGTTGGGAGATGCGTTTATCATCTTTAGCCTCTGACATGAGGTCATCCAGTACAATCATGTTGTTATTCCGTGCATCCAGATAGTTATCCTCGTGCAAGTTGTAAGGAATCCCCTTCACAAACGTCACATAGGGTACCTGTCCACTGATTATCTGAAACAGAGGCTGCTACTCCGCATAACACCAGAAAATCTTATTAGGTACAGGTTGGATGCGATTCTGTAGTAAAATGTTGTACACAAACATAGTCTTGCCATTTCCACTTGGACCCACCACCACAGTATTGGATGGAATGGTAAAGTAGAACTGTGTTTTTAGTGCTGAAGGAGGTTGAGGAGGAGGAGACGTGGGAGGAGGAGGAGGAGGTAAGGTTCCCAGAGGAGGAGGAGGAGGATATGAATGCATCTGTCTACTATGTCTATGCATATTATCATTTCTAGAGAACTGTCTCCCACAATCAGGACACGATGTGGACTCCATGACGATAGATATGCAACTGACACTGGAACAAGAGGAAGGCCCTTATATACTCTGAAGATCAGTTTCTGGGATCCAACTGTTAAACTTTTTGGGATAACCCATCCATTTCACAAACACCTCTTTTACGCCAGCTCGCTTCCTTTTCTTCAAAACCTTCTCCACTCTCCACACTGTGGGCGGGCTTGTCTACTCTCTGTAGTTCATTTGCATAGAAACTACCTTGAACTAGATCATCAGCCATATCCTTCAACAGATAGATAGGCACACCATCACGATAGAACCTTCTTCTGATAATAAAGATTTCATTTTTCTTGATAGTCTCTTTGAAATGTATGTCAGAAATGAGAGAGTCTTACTTTAAATCGCCCACTTTAAATTTAAAGGGTTTCTTCATTGACTTCTGTTTGATTTCAGCTTTCGATTTGACTGGCTTTATCAAAGTGTCAATGTATTGTTCCTTCCATACTAAAGCTTCATTAGTCAGATTAATATCTGAGGGTGATCTTTCATTCAATGATCTGTGAGGTCTGTGGTTATAATCCCGGACGAGATCTTGCAAAATGTTCAGGTAATGGTACGTTTGTTTGTAGGTGAAATATCTGTACATCGTGGTCTTGAGGGTCCGTATCACTCTCTCGGCGTAAGAAGCCTTGGTTTCATTCTGTGTGACATAGTAAGTGATGCCCTTGTTTCTTAAATAAGACCTCATTTTCTTATTATCAAATTCTCGCCCTTTATCTGATCGTATAATTTGTGGCAGGGTAGCGCGGGGAAATATCTTCTTCAAGGCCTTAATGACCGCATCCGATGTTTTATTTTTAAGGGGCTCGACCCACAGAAAACGTGTAAATACATTTATAGCTATGAGTAAGTATTTCACACCCGTCATTGTCCGAGGCTGTATTCGATACATCAGCCAAGTCAATATTCCATCGAGCATTGAGGCCTGAAGCCACCACTCTGTTCCGCTTGAACTTGTAGCTTAAAGGGCGCTGAAGCGAATAGGCATCTTGGGATGTCAACCACTTCTTAATGTGATGCAAACTAATATCAAATTTCCCCTCCTTTTTCACAATGTGATACAACTTAGCCGGGCCAAAAAAGAAGGCCGGGTGTTTGGGATTCAAATAAATACCAGACAAATATGCTTTCCATCCGTCAGCAGGCATGGTTACACGTGAAATGAAGCCTACACGATGTAAATAGAGCTTATACATTATGTATATCCACTACATAGCCTATCAAAACTACAGAGACGGGCCTGGGTTACCTTCAATAACAAACGTGCTTGTGTGTTTATGTTAACCCGTGGATACAGCTGACTGCCTTCATTGTATACCGTCTGGCGACGTGACCTAGTTCATCACTGTTTACAGTAACAAAACAATTCTCCTTTACCTATGCAACTAATGTAAACATAAAATAACTGACAACATTGCTTCCTCACTATTTCAAAGGAATTTCATACATACTATTCTGCAGATTTTGATACTTATTAGTCATTGTTTGAATGTGTAACCGTTGATGTGTCTATAGCGCGGGGATTCCCCTCCACACCTGGCAATCTCATTCAGGCGTTTCCTGTGACGTCATCGTGCACCACCGGTGAAGTGAGGTGGTTTTGTCAGTTAGTATTCATCATACAACAATTGCAAAATGAGCGGAATACCAGCTCTGACAACACAAACACAGCGATAAGCGGACCTTCCAGCTCAGGCATACACGAGGTGAGCGGAGATACAGGTCACCTCAGGGCGTTTCCTACGAGCGGCACATCCTGATCGAGGTCGTCCCAACACCAGCACTCGGAATACCAAGCTTGACTAACACCGTAGTAACAGTGTAATGGTAGCTCATATATAGCTGGGGGGTGAGGGTGGGGGGTGGGGGGTCGGGATGGGGTTGAACAATTAAGGCAATAAATGTAATACTATAAATAACAGTAATTAACGGGAAGTGATAAAGTAGCCCAGGTTGGCTGTCAGTCAAATGTAGGTGAGGATTAACCACGGGGATTATCGCCTAAAACGTAATGACAATTAAGTTATGGAGACATGGCTACAGGGTAATTTGCCTTTGGAGTCAAATGTACTTCAGACAATGGTAGTCGTAAATCAGTCGCTATGACAGAAGTATGGGTAAACATTCATACATAAGGCTACATTTACTATTTCGACTTCACAATTTAGACCTACAGTTGGATAGGGACATCACTGAATGCGCAAGGTATGGGGCCTCATAAATGTAACAATAAACAGCGTGTGAATAAATGTGTGGGTGGGTGACATCGGCTTGTAAATGTACGAGTCTGGACAAGCAAACGACTGAGTAAAATATACGCAATGATTTACCCAGATGGGGAAAAATGTCCCCTCAGCCATGTCACAGAAACACACGTTTTATTGTAGTCTCCGAGGTACTTGAGTTCTGTCCAAAGCCAACAGGATATTGTGTGGACGAATCACCGTCTGAATCTATTGTAATCTAGTAGTATTGTTACTCACCTGTCTCGTAACCGACTGCTCGGATCTCCCTATTGCAGTGTGACCTAATGGTGTGTGACGTAACCTGTCAACTGCCGAGGCAACTTGAAGAAATTTAGGAGTGGGTGTTCTTGCAGGGGACCGCCTCCTTGGTCTAGTGGTAGGGCGTCCGCCCCGAGAGCGGAAGGTCTGGGGTTCGATCCCCGTCCGCTTCATACCAAAAGACGTCAAAAGATGGTACTTGTCGTTACCCTGTCTGGCGCTCAGCATTAAGGGGCTAAAACAAGGACTCTTCGGCTCGGAGTCAGTATACTGTGTCTGAGTGGGGTATTCATGTTAAAATGCGGCATGTTATCTCAGTGAGCTAGCACTATAAATCGGCATCAGTCCGGACTAGTACAAGCAGCCACACACACACACACGTAAATGCACGTCACTACATATGTGTAATTATCTTGGACGCGACGTTAAACCCCATTTCACCTCACCTCACCTCTTGCAGGCTGGTTACATACGTCAAGATCAAAAGATTTAATACTGGTTTTGCTGCCGTTGTTTTGCTGTCGTTGTTTTGCTGCCGTTGTTTTGCTGCCGCTGTTTCGCTGCCGTTGCTTTTCTGCCGCTGTTTTGCTGTCGTTTATTTTCTGCCGCTGTTTGTTGCCGCAGTTTTGCTGCCGTTGTTTCGCTGCTGCTGTTTTGCTGTCGTTGTTTTGCTGCTGTTCTTTTTCTGATGTTAAGATTTATTATATGGAATTGTTCACACCAAACCCCATCTCAAACCGAGCCCCCACTTTGGTTGATATGGGGTATGTTATAACGACTGCCGTATAATAACATTTGTATTACATACCATAACGTGAAATTTTAAATGTGTCCATTCATAAAACATCCATCGATGGGTGCCACCTCTACCAACTCTCGCATCTCGCCAACTGCAACCTGCCAACTGTTTCTGAATAACTCCACGAAGCTGTCGGTTTTACTTACCGTGTTTTGTTTTATAGGTTTATTCACAAATCCTTCCGTGTCCATTTCGCTTCTAAATCTGTCCTCAGTTTTGTCCAAGATAGCGCCTAGCTCCATAATCAAGTTTGCAAGTGAATGAAATACAGTTTTACCTTATGTGGACGACATTGTCACTGGAAAGCTGACCCAGCAGACGATACACTAAGGGACGTAACTCCAATTTCTTATTACCAGGGCTAATCTCGATCGCCCATTCAAAATGCATTGACAAACAAAATCTGCCCGACAGGGGGCGTAATACGGGTGTGGTTTTTACATCCCTGTGATATGTAGGATCTATCGCAAATGAATAACACCTCATATCATTGATAGGTATATGATAAATTATTTTATTGAGCCTCGTACAGACATTCCAGTCCAGGTCAAGACGACCCAGGCAGGATTTGGAGAGTAGAGTTTCAGGGGCGGAGTTCCGAAATCTCTGTGGGAGATGATTCTTGATGATTCAGGTTCTTCATTCTCACCTCGGAAATAACTGAAAGTAAATACAGACTTTGGAGTCACTGAAGACCACAATGAGAGAGTGAGAAAGATGCGTTCTCGATTGGCTCCCCTGATGATAAAGGCACGCGAGGACAACACTGTATCCCATCTTACCTATGAGGAACTGATGACGGCAATTTTTACACAGATTCTACTACATGGAACCAATTACGTATGAAAGGAATTTACTTTTCGAAAGTCACGATGAGGAACGTTTAGAAAATTGTCCACATTCGGTAATATTCATCTTGTTATTGTTTAATCCTATCAAGTAACTCTCACCTTATTGAATTGCACATATTATTGCTACCCTACTAAATAAATATGCATGCATGCCGGTTTGGTATCTGTTCTTTATGTATATGTATTATGTTGTTGAACTTATGTTGTACCTCTGATGCCGCTGATACCAGCCCGGGTGTAAATAAAAGTTCACTTCAGTTCAGTTAGTTTACGTAGGATAAGGAGTGAGTGAGTTGGGTTTAACGCCGCTTTTTATTCCAGTTATACCGCGGTGTGTCAGCTTAATGTGGGAGGAAACCCCGAAGTGATGCAGGTCTAAGACGTTAACCACTTCGGTGAAACCCACGAGCATGGGTATGGTGCTGACAAACCTAGAAACATAATCGGGGCGAACCGGGATTCGAACCCACAATCATAGGTTTCTGGCGGGCCTAAGGGACGCAACTCTGCACAGCGAATCGCGGCGCCTTAGACGACTGGGCCACCCGTGCCCCCGTAGTTCTAAATCAGCTTGATACTCTGAACTGGGCGACAGTACATCTCATTACCATCAATCCAAATATAGTTGTGGCAGAGGCCCTTATGCCTCAGTGATATGTTTTACAGAGAATTCCGTGCGATTATCGCAAGATGCGTTTTGGTAGAAGTTGCGATGTAAAATAAAATGGGACGTTGTCTTTTGAAAAATGTAGTTATTTTCTAATTTTACATCACTTCTGTTTGATGATATCACACATCGAACATCGTTGCGTTTCTTTTGAAGTTGAGTAATTCGCAGGTCCAAAGACGGTAATATTTTTAATTCTATTTGCACAAAGAGTATGAATACAATGTTTTACTTATATGTGAAAAGTATAACCATTTAAGATATACATTTCTCCCCTTGGTGAAGGGTATTTTCAAAGACCGTCAGATAACGGTAAATCGGAGAAAGTCCTGATATGATCCATGCTTTACAATGAAAAATGTGTAACTTTAAAATCTAATCATGTACATCACGTGAAAAATGTTAATATGCAAACTGCATTGTACTTTGGGCCTTTGTGCCAAAATGACTAAATAAAATATATGTCTGTCTGTCTGTTTAGGGATTCATAACCATTAAAATTAAACCAAGCTAAAGCATGAAGGCTTTATGTAAGCAGATACAAGTTGAACTCACACAGCGTGAGACGCGTCTGACAGGCGAATATACATGTTTAGCAACGTTGATGGTAAGTCAGTACTTACATACAAGTGCCCTTATACAAATACACAGAGGGTATTACATTTAGTAAATGTAACAGTTATACAGATACCACAAAGCCAAACTCTTTTCACCTGACGCCAGCTCAAACCTTCTGATCTTCAGCTATGGACAGCGACTCCAGCCTCTGATCTAACGTCGGGGCCCGACGGTAGGGCAAGCTGGTCTTCAACGTCGGAGAAACTCCGAGTATATTTAGAAGTAAGCTTTTATATGTCACGTTCGAACGTCAAAGTGGACAATTCCGATCCGGGAATCTTTCACTCCAAGCGGCCAGCGTGTGTGTTTGTTAACAGACTACGGATAACACGACTGATAATACACTATGATGGAGTGCAGAGTTTGCGCTTTAAGAACATGTGTTCTATACAACAAAGGCCCAAGTGGTTATTTAGTTATCTCCTGAAAGGTAACTAAAAACCCAAAGGAATTAAACATTTAACATACATAAATAATAAAAATACTAGGGGCTCAATCCGAACTTCGTCACAATCACACATTGTGAAATGGCACAAATAGTCTTTTCAATATTGTTGCAATGCCGACCATCTTTGAAATCGTAGCAGACTCTCACGGGAAGATACTGGTGTGATCGATTGAAGTGTCCAGTTGCATGGGACATGTGATGTAAACAGAGAAGGGAGAATGAATGAATGCTTGAATATTGTTTACGTTGTATCAGCAAGTTTCCAGCTGTTCATGGCGACGAAGCGAGAAGACGAAAGTCAGTACACCGCGGCCTAAGGTACATTGTAAATTGAACCCTTCAGATACAATGAGGTGGCGATCCGGGCTTGAAGCAGAAAGTAAGGTTTACCGAATTTCATGCTTTCACATTTTTCGGCGGTTTCGGACTTTGAGCCTTCGGCCTTTCCGGTACCGTGTTACCTGTAATAGAAGCAGATCATACTTACACGTGGTTTATACAAGTGATAGGTTTCTTACCTAGTAACGATAATTTGAACTCAAAACGAAGTTCGTTTAAACTTCATTACTGGTAATAATCGTAAAGACACACTGGTTAGAATGTTAAACTCTTCTGATGTAAACCGCCTTGAGAACTTAGCCAATTATGTTAAAATCTGTCTTCGTTCTTCTTACCTGTAAATATTATTTCATGCAGCACTTGATGTAAAACTAGTTTGTATATATATGTACGTGTGTCTGAGGCCTTATTACCGAATAAACTGATTGCTTGAATAATGTATGGCCCGTGAGAGAAATATTTGTTTGTTTGTTTGTATGTTGTTTAACGCTGCACTCAGCAATATTCCAGCTATATGGCCGCGGTCTGTAAATAATCGAGTCTGGACCAGACAATCCAGTAATTGACATCAGGAGCATCGATCCACGAAATTGGGATTGAAGAAATGCATCAATCAAGCATACGACAAGCATAATCGTCTGTTGGGGCAAGCATGGGTTGCTGAAGACTTATTCTACCCCGGATCTTCACGGGTCGAGAAATATTTGTACATCATGATCAGTGTCAGACACATATGTAAACACACACTTCAATTTGGTGGCAGTAAGCAAATCAGAAAGAAATAAATGCTGAAAAGGCGACTGTTACAACGGAAAGGCGTACAGTGAGTGATAATTAATACGATAAACCAGGAAGAAAAGTCTAATTCAACTGAACACGAGATGCAATTATTGATATCAAAGGTGGCAAGGATCATGCATAATTCTAAGCAAGCAAGTTGCCCTCTGTGCGGTTCGTCTGGCATCACCTGATATAATAGCACTGGACAAAAGACAACAACACGTATACAATTGTTTAACAATAGTGATGTGACTGTGGAATGAGTATTGACAGGTCGGCGTTTTCTGGCGAAGTGGAGACGGGACTGATGCTGGCTTCAGTGATGTTGGTGAAGGCAGGGGTGTTATGGGCGAATTTTCCCAGCCATTTGTATTACGTAACTACATTTACTTTTTCGCCTTGTTTGGCAAGAGAAAAACGGTTTGACGACATATTTCAAGTTATACAAGTTGAAGGCAGTCAGCATGCGTGGATCATCCTTTTCAACAAAAGGCCATCCGTTCGGTTAATGTTGAGGTTGATTGGTTGGTTGGTTGGTTTGTTGTTTAACGCCGCACTCAGCAATATTCCAGCTATATGACGGCGGTCTGTAAATAATTGAGTCTGGACCAAACAATCCAGTGATTAATGTCATGAGCATCGGTCCACTCAATTGGGATCGATGACATGCATCAACCAAGTCAGCGAGCCTGACCACCCGATCCTGTTAGTCGCCTTTTACGACAAGCATAGGTATTCTACCCGGAATCTTTACGGGTCGTTGAGGTTGACCAAAGACGTGTAGACAGTGATAAGCAAAGTAAAAACACTATCGTTGTTTTATTGAATGCAGAGAATGTGCAAGTTAAACTAATTGTTCATTTGATACCAAATAATAGGTTTATTTGTGCACCATGTTTTGCAACAGGGAATTATCTGTCTCCAGACATATTCAAACGGTCGGTCTCCACGGTTTAGCGGATGGCCGTAGCATGAGTGGAAGTTCATATGCTGCGTTCGGTTCACACATTTACATTTATTCCAATCTATACCCACCTGTCGGCGGCAAAGGAAAGGGCCGAGATTTTATTAGTCCCTCTGGAACTCCAACTGCAAGATGTAAGATGATTTGCATAAAGCAAATGTCATGAATTAACAAATGGTCATTTCGGTTTGTTGAATGAAATAAAAGCGATGAATTGAGTCTTACAATATTGTCTTAGAAATCACATTTAGATACTGATCAAGAAGATAATTTATGGATGCCAACTTCTTTATTATGAGGAACAAAACGTGTCGGAGTATAGTTGTTCATTCATCTGATGGTTCCGAACATAACATAAATGCACTAGTCTTGCAGGTTCTCAAAAAGCAATTCTATATTTTGACATGTACCATATGTTTCCGGTGTTTTTCGGTTGAGAAACTGACTAGCCTTTGCATGTGTTTGTGACGGATACCTCCGGTGATGCAGGATACACACACCTATTCGCAAACACCTAGTATTATCAATATTTGACAGTTATTCATAAATGCATGGTCATGATATAGTCTGAATCGTAAAATCGACTCTGCTTTTTGCAGAGATTTCTTATGAATATGAAATAATTATAAGGGGTTTATATATTTGATGTATTGCATTCATGTCTGTTTGCTGTTTGGATCTTTATGATATAGCTAGAAACTGGACGCATGATCAGTCTTCTCGGAGATGCTGTTACCAAAGAGTTTAAACTGATACATACATTGTTTAGTTTTCACGTTGACTTGTCTTGGCCCTTGTTTACCGTGCCTTTCTTCCATAGCCCGTCCTTTTAAGTCCTGTTTATAGCACCTAGAACGAGAAATTACCTGCATACTAAGTAAGCTGTACATATGTTTTTGCATATATGTATCGGAATGGCCGCTCGGATTTGTTTAACAAAACAAGGGAATTTGGCCAGGACGTTTAACTGAAACTTGATCTAAAGATTTGACCTACATATCCTCAAATGATTTATGTTTCAACATAATCCCCTTATACATTGAGATACTTTAGCCAAAGTTGTTGGTTATTGTTAAGAAATGCTTTCTTGGCTGTCAATCATATTTTCCACAGCTGCTCTGACGTAATCATTTGATTCGAAATGGGTTCCGACTTGAGTTATTTTCATGTTTGAGAACAGGTGGAAGTCTGACGAAGCCAGATCAGAATCTAGCTTTTTCAAATGATCTTAGCCATAAGTTTATCGTAAAGTTACTATAATCTAAGGAAATCAGACTGCAGTAGAAGAATTTTGAAATTATTGTAGCCCTACGATTTTGGAGGTTATACCTAACGTAAGTGTATTTCATCTTCATCCAAGATGACGGCACGATTTTGACATATATATATATATATTAGGAATATGACGATAGACAGTGGCGAAGTTTCTCATTCGATTTTACATATGGAATCGTCTTAAGAAGGAAATATACATGTTTATATATTTGAAATATGTCACGTTTAATTATTTCTTGTAAACGTAATGGCATTGTTTGGTTTATGAAAAATTGGATGACCTTAAATATTGAAAGATAAATCGTTGATACCATGTGAATGAAAGCTGTCTTGTGGACACAAGGTAAATGCTAAGATTAACGGCATATATTCTTCCATTAAAAATAGAGCAATTTATTCAAATGTTGACGGTAAAGGACAGATCCTATGCAGAAATGAAAATGAGTAGTATTTAATAGTTTATATTTGCAAATATCTTCGAGCATGGCTATTTTCAAAACTGAAATTTAAATAGTGCGATTTTATGCTCGTTGAGGATTGAATCGTCGTTAAAAAACATATTTTCAACATTCTATAATTGTTCTCAAATTCCCCGTTTTTCGCAGTAAAAAAATAGAAAAGTTGCAATTTTCTTTTTTAAAATGTACAATTACCCGTTTTATATCAACATTACAGATACTTGACACCTTCCAGTTAGATCATTGTCATTTAAAATAACGTCCTTTTCTTGAGTCCTTTACATTTGTACTCGACGTGTTCATCTAACAGCGGGTTCGCAAGAGGACCGTTTGTAGACAGTCAGTATCTTTTCACATATTATTTCAATTTTAATACCTACAGTGCGGTACAACCACACTTACTGATCATAACATTTCGTCCATTTGAACAATATCGACACACGAATCATGTGAAATTAGTGTCGCCTGCAGTCGTGATACCTAGAAATGCAATATATGTCACATATGTAACTAGAAAACTCGTAAAGGTTAAGATCGGAGGACCAGATCTTGATGCGTGTAGAAAGACCGCGGAATTGTAGGGTAGGACGTACAGATAGACCTAGGGCGAAGCCGTGGGGGTGTAAGGTGGAACGGATAGAGTATCAGTACCCCACCCCCATCCCACCCCACCTCCCACGGGCACAGGTATGGTCCAGACAAACCAGGTAACATAACCGGGGCGAACCAGGATTCGAACCCAAAACCAGAGTAGGTTTCAAATGTGCTTAAGGTACACGCACACATCGAATTGCACCGCCTTAGGGGACTCGACCAACCTTGCCCCCATTGTGAACAATAGAGACGTCATTATACGATTATTATTATTTTTATAGTGATTATGTACACGATTATAGCATTATTTCCCATATGTTATATCTGAAACGTTCGCAGTTGGGTGGGCAGGGGTGAATGAAGTACTGGAATAATATCTTTGAACATAATTATGTAATTACATTTACTATATCGACTTCACAATTTAGAAATACAGTTTGTTTTATTTGTGCAAAATAGAGACATTCAAAGGCCTCATACATTGCGCATTCCTTATGTCATACAAATTTATTTTCTGTTCATAACACATTGCGCACACAGAGAAGAATGTTATCTTTACATGTCGAGCGCTATAAATAACCTTAATAATGCATGCTACGTCAGGCATAAATTTAAATAGGATGATGACAAGAAGCCAAACTGTACATGTATCGTGTCATTTGTTGATAGTTTTAGCAAAGGTTTTTGGGGTTTAGAGTAGATACCTAGAATGTAAGTCTAAAGAGAGACAGGCGAAACAGCGTGTGGATTCATGTGTGGGTGACATCGGCTTGTTAACTGACGAGTCTTGACAAGCAAACCACTGACTAAAATATACCCAATGTCCCCTCGTGAGATAAGCCACAAAAAACACACGTTTCATTGTAGAGGTACGTGTGTTCTGTTCACCACCCCACCCCACCCCACCCCACCCCCCTCCCCGGGATATTGTGTGGACGAATCTCCGACTCAATCTATTGCAATCTAGTGGTATTGTTACTCACCTGTGTCGTAACCGAGTGCTCGGATCTTCCTATTGCAGTGTGACCTAATGGCTTAATCAGTCAGCTGCCGAGGCAACTTGACCTAAATTGAGGAGTGCGTGTTCTTGCAGGGTGATCACAATCGTCATGATTTGATGCTGGTGTTCCTGTGCTGTAATTCTGCCGTTGATTTGCTGAAGTTTAGATGTTATTATATGACATTTAACATAGGGGCGGTCGGGTAGCCTAGTTAACGACTAGCGTTCGCTCGTCTTGCAGAAGACCCGGGTTCGATTCCCGACAGGGGTACAAGGTGTGAAGCCCATTTCTGGTGTCCACCGCCGTGATATTGCTGGAATATTGCTAAAATCGGCGTAAAACCATAATCACTCACTCATGTTTCACACTAAACCCCATCTCAGACCGATCCCCCCACTCTGGTTGATATGGGGTATGTTATTACAATTGCCGTATAATAACATTTGTACTACATACCATGACGTGAAATTTTAAAATGTATCCATTCATAAAACATCCATTGATGGGTGCCACCTCTACCAATTCTCGAATCTCGCCAACTGCAACCTGCCAACTGTTTCTAAATAGCTTAATGAAGCTGTCGGTTTTACTTACCGTGTTTTGTTTTATTGGTTTATTCACAAATCCTTCCGTGTCCATTTCGCTTCTAAATCTGTCCTCAGTTTTGTCAAACATAGCGTCTAACTCCATAATGAAGTTTGCAAGTGAATGAAATACAGTTTTACCTTATTTGGATGACATTGTCACGGGAATGCTAACCGAGCAGACGGTACACTAAGGGACGTAACTCCATATCTTATGACCCAGGCTGATCTCGATCGCCCGTTCAAAATGCATTGACATGCCATATCTGCCCGACAGGGGGCGTAATACGGGTGTGGTTGTTACACCCCTGTGATATGACCGTCTCTATGTTGGCTCTATCGCAAATGAATAACACCTCATATCATTGATAGGTATATGATAAATTATTTTATTGAGCCTCGCACAGACATTCCAGTCCAGGTCAAGACGACCCAGGCAGGATTTTGAAAGTTCAGGATCGGATTTCCGAAAACTCTGTGAAAGATGGGTTTGATTATGAAAACGAGTCCAGACATACGAAATGTGTTGCCCTGTTTGTTCTGTGCAAGGATATTTGGTGTGCTTGAAGTAGCAATCTCAAGATGTTTGTCCGCGTATAACAGATTCGTCAGATATCTCGGGAAGAACCATTAGCCACCTTGATGACGTCACGCAATACATACTGTCTTACATATGCCAAAATATGTACAAATACTTTGAAAACAAATGAACATCTGCTCTTGAACGTGAAGTGACAATGTACTGTTACTTGACAGACGAAACAACGAAAACCCTGATTCTTGTGAATACACTAACTGCGCTACGAGATTAGGTAAACATAACAAACATAGATTTGGAATGATTTCCGTTTTCCGCAATTGATGCAATTTACTCAGCTTAAGCTTACCAGGCGATTTGCCTATCACGTTATGCAAATATATGGCATAAGGAGCCTTTTCGAAAACCAAACAAAATTCTGAGTGGGAAATAAACTGAAAACAATAAGCTTGCTCTCCAGGGAAGAACATTGCACGGACATAGTTGATATTGAATAAATATTAAGACAAACATAATTATGTTTTTTATATTAATATAATAGATGCAATACAATTCTTAATTTTCATAACATAATTTGTTTAGACCCTAAATCCACGGCACCACGGGAGATAAAGATTTGGATCTGGTGGACAGACTAAGTCATATTATCTGGCTGGTATTGGTTTATTCCTTTTGTTCAGCACTTTGTATTATTTGTAGCATTCGTAGCAGCATATGGCTGCAGAACTGCTGATATATGTTGGGGCAATGCAGTATTATAGGTCTTCAGTAAACGCATGCTTGTCGTAAAAGGCGACAATACTTGTCGTTAGAGTCGACTAACGGGATCGGGTGGTCAGGCTCGCTGACTTGGTCGATACATCGTATCCCAATTGCGTGGATCGATGCTCATGGTATCAATCACTGGACTGCCTTGTCCATACACGATTATTTACAGACCGACGTCATATAGCTGGAATATTGCTGAGTACGGCGTTGCACAACAAACAAACAATCAAAACATTCACTACCAAGAAGAACCGATGGACCGTGTTATACGATCCTTGCTAGGTATATGTGATACCTTACTCTACCTGTAAACATGAATGGCCGACAACATATTCGCACTAACTACATGTGGGTAATAACTGGTACAAACGAGGTATTAAATGAAAAATAATGGTAAGAAATTGTATGCGTGAAGGGCAAGTAAAGTTAAAAAAATATTGCGAGGTTGTTGCGAATATTAATTTTCCCAGATACATTTAGTCAATTTCCGAGAGAGAAATAAATATGTCGAAGAAAATATTTAAATGTCGAAGTGAAAATGCTGAAACCACACGCTCCATAATCGGCCTATTTTGAGGCGTGGCCTAAAGCTACTTGTGCAGCGGTGACAACTGATTTCAGTGGCTGATATGTTTATCGCGTGTATCTATCTCATGATTCTAAGCCGTTATACATATGCTGTATCTGCTATTTCTTTTAATCCCCAAAATAACAACATTGAAACGACCGTTGATACTAACATTGTGAGTGATAAAAATAACAATAAACAATCGGTAACTAGCGTTTTATTACTAACAACAAATGTTACAAAGGCTACATGTTGAATACGTTCATGCATTCGGTCCAGAAGTCATATTCATTTGGGGAACTTCGTGTTTTGTTGATTTATGTGATGTTGAAGTGATGTGGTGGTATATGTTTACTGAGGAGCAAAATCACGTATCTTTTTAACAAAGACGTGTCCATGTCGGAACTGTATATATAATTCTGCTCGTGGATTCTGCTAGAATGTCAAAGGATGCATTTGAACCAAGTACACGTTAAGCTCCTTGTAGTAGGCAAGCAATGTGTTATCAACACGTTCAGATTTTGTCTGTGCTTCGTATTAGTTAGGGCGAACATAATGTCATGAAAACCCCCGTTCTTACGAAAGACCAAGTGCTACGTGGAGTATACCTTGAAATAGGTTTAAATAAACAAAGAATATTTGTTTTAAATACCAGGAATAGTAAGGAGGTAGGTAGGCATGTAGCCATTATATGTCATACCGCACTGACCTAAGCTGTTACACTGACTTGCCGCAGTACACGTTTAGCAGTGATGGAACTAGAAGCACGTATGTACACAACAGGTGGTGATTCTGCAGCACATCTAGAGTGACACACCCAAGCAATCATAATGAAGATATTTCGTAGTTTAATTGGGGTTGAATAAAAAATGAAGCAACGATTCCACTTTTGACATAATTTTGCGTTTCATGGCTGAATGCATAGAGGGTGACTATCCTGGACTTAAACATAAAAAGTTGTTTTCTATGGTTTTTTTGTATCAAGATAGATTTCAGCTACAGCTTCAAAACAAGGTATTTTTTTATTTAAAACTATGAAGCTGTTTGTTTTAAGAAAAGCACCTTGCAACAATGTCATTTTTGAGGCAGGAAATTTCTTTTTTGAAACAGTCTGAATCATAACTATATTGGCAAGAATTGGCTTCTAACAATGGCTTCTATACAGCCCTCACATCACACAGTGTCGATAAAGTAGCAAATGTTGCCGTGGGCGCTTATTACGTCGAATACGGTAGTTATTCGTTACTTACGCACATGTCAGTATATCTACCTACCTATCTTAAGAGAGAGAGAGAGAGAGAGAGAGAGAGAGAGAGAGAGAGAGCGAGAGCGAGAGAGAGCACAGTGAGAGAGCGAGAGAGAGAGCACAGTAAATGTCTTACTCATAGGCACAATATATAGAAAATTGCATAAGTGGAATACAATTGAGCACAGTTTTAATTACCTGGCGCTTTTAACTTTTACCGCGTACGAGTCTCATCGGGGGCATATCTTTTATATATAGTTAGTTAGTTGGTAAGTTAGTTGGTTGGCTGGTTGTTTGGTTGGTTGTTTGGTTGGTATCTACTTATCTGTATTTGCCGTTTTACAAAATAAATTACGTGGTTTATGCTGACAGTCTTAAATGTTCATGCACGACAGATATATTTTCAGAATTTAATTGCCCATAATTAAGGGTGCATATAACACACCAGTGCGTATTATACGCAAATAAATAAGTCTTGTGTACATTGATCAATCGGAAGGGGTGCTAATTGGGATTGATCACTAGCCAATAAATTAGCAAATATTGCCGTGGGCGCTTATTACGTCGAATACGGTAGTTATTCGTTACTTACGTACATGTCAGTATATCTACCTACCTAGAGAGAGAGAGAGAGAGAGAGAGAGAGAGAGAGAGAGAGAGAGAGAGAGAGAGAGAGAGAGAGAGAGAGAGCACAGTAAAGTCTTACTCATAGGCACAATATATAGAAAATACATCAGTGGAATAAAATTGAGCATAGTTTTAATTACCTGGCGCTTTTAACTCTTACCGCGTACGAGTCTCATCGGGGGCATATTTTCTTTATGTAGTTAGTTAGTTGGTAAGTTAGTTGGTTGGTTGGTTGGTTGGTCGGTTGGTTAGTTAGGTATGATCTACTAATCTGTATTTGCCGTTTTACAAAACAAAAGCTGCAAAAGTACAGGGTACAATTCTGACTACAATATATATAATAAGCATGTGTTTATTACCCACTATCAAACAGTGCTCGCGAAAGGGTGATCGTATCATCCCGTTTGCTTTCAAAACCACGTACATGGGTATTAAAAAATAACACAAGTCAAAATATAAAATTGCATTGGACATCATTCTTTTGTCACTCATGTTATAAATTTGAAAATGTATCTCTAACGTAAACTTGTTTTGGTGCAATCCAAAACCCGTTAAACAGTAAACAGTATGAATAAATCTAAATGTACTCAAAATAAAATAATGAACTGAGCGTGTACCTAGATGAGTGAGTGAGTGAGTGAGTTGCTTTTAACAGTATTCCAATTTAATCACGGCGTGTCAGCTTAATGTGGGAGGAAAGCCCGAAGTGATGCAGGTCTCAGACGTTTACCACTTCGGTGAAACCCACGAGCACGGGTATGGTGCTGACAAACCTAGAAACATAATCGGGGTGAACC